CAGGTGAGGGATTGTCAGTCCCGTATAGATCTATATACAAATTTACGCTCTCCCTCAAGGAGACTCTGGTTATAATTTATAGGACTTGAACCGGTACCTTGATGGGTACCCCGAAGTAGTGCCCCACAACCCTGTATTAACTAGTTTACGTGTAGTGTAGTAGTGTTCTCTTGTGCTTGAAAGTGTATGTATTACCTTGTAGTAGTGTACTTTGTAATGCAAAATAATTATACTTAAATAATTATTTAGTAGTGTATCCTTGAATTAGTGAAATAGAGTAGGGTTCCATAAACTATGCCTATTATAGTTTATATACTTGTTTCTGCATAGTGTTCTTGAGCTTGTAAAATAGTGTAGTGTTTCCCAAACTATACCTATTATAGCTTAAATGTATGTTCTTGTATCATTTATTGAACTTAGCAAAATAGTGTAGCGATTTACAAACTATAGCAACTATAGTTTAAATGTGTGCCCTGTAATGAATAGAAGCATTTTCAATTTAAAAGTGTGTATAAAGCGGTAGTAAGAGATTTATGTAAAATACCATTTTGCTCGACATGCTACAAAAGGGTTAAATATATATATAATTATATTTTGATAAATGCAGCGATAAATCGTTTTGAAAGAATTGCAAATGGTTTGAAATGTTTTGAAATCGTTTGAATGTTAACACAAGAGTCCTTGTGCTTAACTTGTATCCCCCCCCCCCTAAAAACATTGAAAAATAATGAAAATATAGGGGTATGAACTCACCTCTAGTGCGTGTTCATGCTCAGGTATCGAAACTACAGAGATGATCATCGGGCTAGCGTACGCGGAAATAACGGTATCCTAATAATATTTAAACACGTATTCGTATTTAAATTAGGGAGATAATTAATTAAAGTGTTAGACAACACTTAATTTATGCATGGAATACTTACAAAAATTACCGAGAATTGTTTGGAGTGTTGTTAGGTGTTTTCAGTTTATCCCTCACCGAAATCCCGTGATTTCGATACTGACCAAAATCAGTCTTCGGTCCAGGAAAGGTTCTCGGTCAGGAAAGGATTTCAGTCTAGTGGTTTTCGGTCAGCTTGAAGATTTGAAGATTGTTCTTGGTGTTATTGGTGTTCTTGCTGAAAATTATGAAGATTTGAAGGATTTTTCTTGAAGATATGAATATTCTTGTATGATACTTGAGAGCAAAATGAGTGTGTTTTCGGTTGGAAAAGTGAGAAAATGACTATGTTTTCGAGTGAAACCATATATATCGGGTGGGTTTTTGGTCGGGAGGGAGTTTTCGGTCCGAGGAGTTTGCGATCCGAGGGTTTTCGGCCGAAAAGGGGTTTTCGGTGCGAAGGTTCTCGGGTTCCAAAGGGAAGATTTTGATTTTTAAGTGCATTTTATTCCAAATATCAAAATACTTATATAAAAACATCATTTATATAATTTAAATCATATTTAACCCTTATGATCTTAACAAAATAAATAAAACTCAAATTTTATTCAGAGGGTTTGACTTTCATTGACTTGAAAAATAACGGGTTGTTACATTATCCCCCCGTTAGAGGGAATTTCGTCCCGAAATTCCCTCTATAGTGAATACATCATGGACTAGGGAAAAAGATGCAGGTACTTTTGTTGCATATCATCTTCTCGTTCCCAAGTGAATTCAGGTCCCCGCTTGGCATCCCAGCGAACCTTCACTATTGGTATGCGACTTTGTTTCGTTCGTTTGACTTCCCTATCCATGATTTCTACTGGTTCTTCCACAAAGTTAAGACTCTCGTTAATCTCTATTTCATCGAGTGGAATCACAAGAGTCTTGTCGGATAGACAGTTCTTTAGATTTGACACGTGGAAGACAGAGTGTACATTGTTAAGTTCTTGTGGTAGACGGAGTTTGTAAGCTACTGGGCCGATTCTAGTAAGAATCTCGAATGGCCCAATGTACCTTGGATTTAGCTTTCCACGCTTTCCGAAACGTATCATACCCTTCCAGGGTGAGACCTTCACAGAACGCGGTCACCAACCTGGAATTCCAAGGGTTTTCGTCTCTTGTCTGGGTAGCTCTTTTGTCTGTCTCTAGAGGCTTTCATTCGTTCTCGGATTTGGATGATCTTTTCTATGGTTTCTCGAATGATCTCTGGGCCAGTGAGAGTGCTAGCAAGGACTTGCCCTTTAGCTAGCTGTGTGTCACCCACTTCAGCCCAGCACAGGGCGGATCTGTCCATATAGTGTTTAGGGTCTATATCTCTGTTTGTAGGCTTTAGTTTGGAGGATGGATGACTTGTGGACAAAGATCTAGGTCCTAAGGAGTTAGGGTTTGAGCTAAACCCATTAAGTAAAGGTATTAACGGATAAAGTTGGAAACTTTACCCTTAAAAGGACATTTTCAGTGTATATGAGAAGTATGAAACTTAGATCTGAAGAGTTGGGGATTAATCTATTAAGATGGCCCAAACAGACTGAGGAACTCGGCGAGTCCAGAGAGGGACTCGACGAGTTGAGTCGATTTGTCCCGATTCTGTATACGGTAGAACTCGACGAGTCTGCAAAGGGAGTCGACGAGTTCGCTCGTGTTATTAGGGGTGCAAACGAGCCAAGCTACTCACGATCTACTCGGGATCGGATCGTTAAAAGCTCGACTCGAAATCGATTTCAAACGAGCCTGAGCCGAGCTCGAGTTTAATATTAAGCTCGTTTATTAAACGAGCTCGAGCTCGAGCCTGTGTCATTAAGCTCGATTAGGCTCGCGAGCCTAAACGAGCCTTTATATAATATAATTTATTATTATTTATATATATTAAAATAAAAACCTATTAGGGGAATTATGGATTTAGGGTATTGGTAAACGGGCTTCGTAACGAGCTCGAGTCGAGCTTAAGCTTATTTAGGCAGGTAAAATAAAAAACGAGTCGAACCCGAGCCCAAGTCGAGCTTGTATAATTCTTTACGAGCTCGAGCCGAGCTCAATACAAGAAAGCTCGAATCGAGCTGAGCTCGAGCTCGAGCTTCATATAAATTAAACGAGCCTGAGCCGAGCCTGGCCAGGCTCAGGCTCAGGCTCGGCTCGACTCGTTTGCACCCCTACGTGTTATCACGACTATGAGTAGCAAGGGAACTCGGCAAGTCAGGGGGATGACTCAGCGAGTTGAGTCAACTCGGATTGTTGACTTTGACTTTGACTGAGCGTTGACATTGAGTTGGACATTGACTTTGACCAAGGTTGACCTGTGAAGGGGTTTTGAGTATGGAATGTTATCTAAGAGGTTTTCATGTATAGGGTGAGAGTAGATTCAGTTGCGGAGCAGGGACTTTCAGCTATTCACGACATTGAGGTGAGTTTCCTTCAGTAGGAACGAGTCTACGGCACCAAGGTCGGCCCGTATATGTGATATGTTTAGTAGTTGAGTGTGGGCGGGGCTCGTATCTCATAGATAGAATGATATGGTATAGATTTATATGCTTAGTTATACTTGTTGTCTATGTGATACTTGTATGTTATTTTAATGACTAGCAGAGTGTGGGTGGGGCCCGTATCTCCCAGTAGCTGAGTGTGGGCGGGGCTCGTATCTTATAGTAGCTGAGTGTGGGCGGGCCCGTATCTCATTGAGTATGGGCGGGGCCCGTATCTCCTAGTTGCATGTTATGTGTATGGTATGTGGTAGTTTGGGGAGACTCAATAAGCTTCGTGCTTACAGTTTACAGTTTTGGTTTCAGGTACTTCCGATAGCAAGGGGAAGAGCTCGGGATGATTGCAGTGCACACACCATTTGTTTAGCCTGGGATGTTTTTACTCTGATATGTTAGACAGATATTTACGATATTTTAAGATACATGATCTATGGTTTTATATGATGTTTGGATAACTATGGTTTTATCAATGATTTAAAATGAAATTTTTGTTCTTGATTTTTGGGATGTTTCATAAGCTCTCAAAACTCTCACAATATGGATAAGGTTTCGAGGTGGTTGCTTAAGAGGGTGGAGGTTGAGCATGAAGAGGGCCTCAAGGGGTTAGAGCATTTAAACAAGGCTCACAACCCTTACGGTTAAGGTTTTTGTCCAGCGCACCTACGCTCGGCGTAACTTTTCCTACGCTCAGCGTAAGTCATTAAGTCCCCGCATCCGATTACTCACCGACGCTCAACGTAGGGAAAATTTTCTCAAAATAAAAACTTTAAACCAAAAGAATAATACCTGGAAGAATCGGGTGTTACAGTTTGGGCAATTTTTCGAAAAAAAATGTATACCACAGGGACCATTTTGCAGTTTTGTCTTATGCCATAAAAAGGTTTTTAAAGTTCTTTTTTCATTTAAATGTTTTTATACGTGTATTTAATAATACGTATAAATACGTTTAAATGAAAAAATAACTTTAAAAACGTTTTGTAATGTATAAAAAATATATAAATAGATTTTATATGCATTTATTATATTTATATGTATTTTCTACATATAAATATATTTTTCTATGTATAAATATGTATTTATACATATATTTATTTAATAATATTAATAATAACAAACTTAAAAAATAATATATTTATTTGCGTTTTTAATAATAACTAGGGAAGAACCCCGCTTTGCGGGGTAGGATACACCAAAGAAGTGGTTAGATAACAGATTTAATCGGACTTGTTTTAACGTTTCGTATTGTTATGATGGATTTGTCTATGTATGTACTTCTATGGTTCCCAATGTCATGAGTTGTTCCTTTGTACATAATAAGCTCGAGAATATTATTGGAAAATATCAATAATCTTGTGCATGGATAGCAAACAACACGCCAAACCCAAATTACTAAAAGTTAAATAATTAGATTATAGATATTGGTAAATTACCACATAAGCTTGAGTGGAGGACCAAATGGTGACAACAAACAAAACAATGGCTGGAATTGGAAACCATTTCCAGTTTCATGAAAGCATCTAACTATAGAATAGATTCACCAAGTTAATTTATAAAAATAGAAGAGATACATAAATAAAATACTTGATATTGATCATTGACACCTATGCCCTAGTCAAGATAGCAACCAACTCCCACTCCAAACTGCATATCACATCCTGTAGTATATACAGTATTTGGTAAATTTCACCATAAAAAGAATAAAAAAAACAGCTAAATGTAAAGAAATAATAAATAGCAACACACTTTCATTTATTTGTGATATTTATAGTATAGCATCCTGCTTACATTTCTTTCTATTGAAAGTAGGATGCCATAATAAAGAAATTAGTGAAAGTACATATACATACCGAGGGGTTATGTGGATCAATGTCAAAGCTATTAATGGCACAGTTTTCAGCCAGTATTTCAGTAGGATCTTCACCTATTTACATAGATCAACATCAAAACTATTTATTTGTTTGGACTTAAAGTATAACTTCAAAGAGTAAAAATTAATAAAAGTAAAATATTTATACCTTGTTTAACAACAGCAAGAATCCCATCTTCAGAGCACATCATAACAGGTAAGACTCCTCGATCAGATGAAATATTAGCATTGATATACATCAATAGTAACATGATAAAGTATCAAACATAACTAAAATTTACAAAAGTATCTTAACAATTATATAATCTCCAATCATGTTTATTCATCCAGAATCGCAGATACAGAACAATTACATTCATATTTTAATTAATGTTCCAATTAAATCAGGTTATGTTACCTGATACCCAAAATCTACAAGTCACAAAATATGTTAACCATCTATGGCGAAAAGAACTTGAAAATTCAAGTTATTCCATAGTGAAGACCAAAAATAGAAGTGTTATTGTTGAGATGTCACAGAAAAATACGTGTATACACAGTCAAAGATACACCGATACATATTGAGAGATGAGTGTAGTAAACTTGGAGCAAACTTTCTTTGAGGCATATCATCAAACATTTGTTGTGCATGTTTTCTAAACATGTAAATAAAACAACAGTAACCCCATTTTTCTATTAGTCTGGCAATAAATCAGCAAATCTAACGTTATAAAATCCTAAAAAATTAAAAAGGGAATAAATGAATGAACATAGGGTTAGTGTAATACTGTAAATAAAGCTAGATTTACTTCTTACTTAAGAGTTTGTGAGCTTAAAAGAACAGTTATGAAGAAACTGGAAGACAGATTCGTGAAATAATTGCTAGATTTTTTTAGTAAAAACAGTTAGTAAAGAATCTAAAAGGAAAATTGTCTATCATCCCTACCCTTAGGTTTCTTCAAGCCACAAAATCTCTTAGCAAAGAAAAAGAAACAGAGCACTTAAAGGCGATTGACCACACTCTCAAAAAAGTATCTCCATAACAATATACCAATCGGAAAATTTTACCTTATGATTGGAGGTGGGAGGTTGTCGACTGCTCATAGAGTCCAACCGGGATATGACACCAAACAATTGGTTTTTTCGCGTACTACAAAAAGCGGCAATGATGATGTCACACCCCCAAACCAAGGATGGCGGAAACGTCTGGGGGTGGAGGACTTCATCTATAGTATCACAACAACGAGTATAATAGTGCTCAAAGTAATTACAACCATCATAAATATAATTGAAAAAGTTACACCAAAGTATATGTTTACATGTTTCGAATCAATTACATTATGATGACAAAATGTGTTGTTTGACGATTTAACGTCTCATCCTCAAAATGTTGTTGATTTCCTGTTTCACTGATTTCCTGAGAATACAAGTAGTTTTGAAAAAAGTGTCAACAATTTGGTTGGTGAGTTCATAAGAGTTTTGTTTGATAAAGAAACCGTTTTCTTTGTAAAAGCGACAAAGTAAGTTTTCCAGAAAATCCAATATTTTCCTTATAAAAGTTATGTGTTGTCTTTAATTCCAAGACCGAAAGTGTACAGTACTATCCATACTTATTGATAATAAAAGTGATTTTAAATCGACATAAAACCCTTTTTAATTTGGGAAATATCCCGTAAACTTTATGTATTATGTGTTGTCTTAAATCCTAAGACCGAAAGTGTACAAGTATTTTTCCATACTTAAAGATATAAAAAGTGATTTTAAACCGACATAAAACCCTTTTTAATTTGAAAGTAAAACCCGTAAATCTTATGATTTGTTAATACCACATGTGAGCTATTATAACCATGCTAAGACTCAGACGGCCTCGTAATACGACGTTCTTCAGGCGTCGCACGTTAAATGACACTTGTCACCTCAGACCTGCCGGTCTAGCTGTTGCATGCAGCTCAGGTGCGGGTTTGTCAGACCCAATATAGATCTATACACAACTATCACGCTCTCCCTCCAAGAGACTCTGGTTACAATTTACAGGACTTTTGACTTTGTTACTTTGAAGGTAACACGAAGTGAATGACTCACAAATTTATTCATTAACAGATTTACGTGAACTGAACTGAAAACCTTTGGTAAATGAGTTTGAAACGTAAATGATACATAAACTATACCTATTATAGTTTATCCGAAAATACATTAGTGCTATGAGTCCATAAACTATTACTATTATGTAGTATATGAAAAAAAAACTCATTTGTTTTGAGAGTAAAACCTTTCTCATGTAGTAAAAATCCATAAACTATACTTATTATAGCTTATTATATGAGTTCGAATGAATGAAGAAATCTTATCATGAATGACTAAATTTCAGTTTATGATGATAAACTAGCAACTAATACATTCAATATTTAGAACTTATTGTTATACACTTTGCTCAACATAATACAAAGTGTTATGGAAGTTATAAGCTGTTAACTAGTTTTTAACCGTTATGCACTGTTTTAGAAAAATCACATAAAAATCATACGAAGTCGAAAACTGAATCCGTAAATTCTGAGAGTTCATAAAATGTGTCTAGTTTGTTCATAATTTTTATTATGATTTTTGGAAGTCCTTAACTTGTGTTAAAATGTTCATATTCACAGACTGTTCCGAATTCGTTTCTGAAATGATAGGCCGTTTTGTAAAAATCACCATAAATTGAAGAAAAATCGTATGGAGATGTGCAAGTAGTCATTTTAAAGGTATGAACCTGAGCTATTTGCATATTAAACAGTTTTGAAAGATATTAAGTTTAAGATAGTCAAAACAGTCCGTGAATAAGACTCAACTTTTCTGATGAAAGCTGTTGTTTGAGTTTAGTTGTGTTCTTGGTGTTTTAACTTGTATTCCCCCCCTTAAAACTTAAGAAAAACATGAAAAGATAGGGGTATGAACTCACCTTGAGTGATTTCAGTAGATGGATGATGGAGAAAGGTAGTGTTCAACTCAAGAACACTAAGAAGATGCCTTGAAGATTTGAAGATCTAACACAAATGTGACGATATTTGTGTAAGCAAGCTATGATTTGGATGAAGGATGTTAAATAATCATAAAGAGGATAATATCACTTACCAAGAGTGAAAGAAAACTTGATGATCAGCCCTTGAATCTCGAATTTGAGAGAGAGAAGTGAGAGAAAAAGTATTTGTTCTTTGGAGGAAAAAATGAGAGAAATGAGAGAAAGATGAGGAGAGATAATAGTTTTCAACCTTTGACCAAAAGTATGGCTGGTCAAATGGTGGGGAAAGTACTCTTGAATGACCAGGTATGGTGGAAGGACAATAGCTGGTCATGGAGTGGGCATGGGAGTGGTTGCTTGTGTCATATACTAAGGCAAAGTCAACACTCCACCACAAGATCTTACTTAATAGATTTTTATTCATAAATAAGGATTTCCCTAAAAATATGCTGAATTTATGAATATATGGGGCCTTATATGTTAAAATATAAGTTTGGGTGAAAATCCCTCGTTAAAATAATTAAAAACGGGCTTAAAACGAAGTTGTGGTCGAAAACTGGGTGGAAAATGGCAAATCTGAAGTCATGTTTGAACCTGGTAGTTTGAATAGAAATAATCTTTTCTTTATTAATCCCTTCATGGGTTATATTAGTACCTGGAATTTGTTTTTCTTTAGAACCTTTTTCTTGAGTTTCAAGAAAACCTGGTTTTCCTTTGCTATAGGCTTCTGTAACCTTTTTTATAATTACCATATCATTATTAAGATGAAAGGCGATTCTATCTATCCATTGTATGAATGGTCCATAAACTTGACAGAAGTTGTTTCCAATTATGATATCAATTCCTGAATTTTGTTGGTAAATAGTGGGAACGTTGAAATGTTCTCCTGAAAGTTCGAGATTAATGTTTCTACAAACTTTATTAATTTTTATGGTTTCACCATTTGCAATAGTGGCACTAATTTCTTTGGGAGCGTTTTCCCAGAGTTCATCCGGAATGATGAATTTGCTTGCAAGACATAAAGATGCACCTGTGTCTACAAAACAATGTACCCTAAATTTTTTATATCCTTTAAAGTTAAGGAAAGTAGAAACATAGATAGAGTTTGGATTAGTAAGATTCATGATAAGGGAATCATCAATCTTCTGGAGGTTTACGCAAAAATGGTTAATCTCCTCCTCTCTGAAAAGTGGGGTTTGTATGGGACTAGTCTGAGTCATCCGTTGTTGATTCGTATTCATCAGTGTCTGATGAAGATTCTGTCTCAACATGATATATAAAAACATGTTGTGTACCATCATACTCTTCTTCAAGAGCTTCATAGCCCCCATTGTTAGCGGTTTGTAAAACCTTGACTTTGTCTGGGTATTTTTTTCTATTTGGACATTCATTGGCGTAGTGTCCTTCTTCATTGCAGATCCAACACCTACATTTTTTCTTTCCTTGCGGACAGGAAGTAGTCTTCTTAGGTGTTTCTTTGAAGGTTTTTTGAAGTATTTTCCTGGTGAAAATTTTCTTCTTTTCTTTTTCCAAAAAGATTTGAATTTCTTTTTGTTTTTATACTTTTTCTTATTATAATTTTTCTTTCCAATATCAAAGTTTTTGAAATCAGAGAGAATGCTACAACAATCTTTGCTTATTGTTTTAAGTTTTTGTTGTTTATATCTGTCTTGACAGATTCTATCAATTTCTTCTTTTGCAATTTTTGTTGCATAAGAAAGACTGGTTTGCTGGATTTCTCCAGTAACTTCTTTTTTCCATCTGTCTGTACAGGTTTCTCCAATAATTGGAATTTTCATGAGGTAAGCAGATATCCATTGCGCATATTCACTTCTTTGTGGAATATCATACAGATATGATTCATACATACATGTGTATTTGTCGAGAAGACTAATATCATGTAATTGGAGTTTTGTCATTGAAACTCTTGCTATGTCAACTTTCTTATTAATGGTGAAGTCTTTATTAGAAATATAATCAAGACCTAAGAAAGTAGTGTATATGACATTTATGATATTATCAAAAAGATCTGAACCATGCATTTCTTCATTCCAATTATTGTTTCTTAGGAATTTTTGCACAATTCCATCAGTTTTGTGTTCTAAAAGTAGTAGAACATTTTTTGCTTTTTCAAATTCATCTGGGTTTGTCTGTAAGATTAGTGAAATCTTAGTAACCCATTTTTCTACAACTCTTTCTCTGAGTTTTAGATCTTGGATACAATCAATATTGAGTACATTGATCGTATTGGATCCTTGACCACTATTTGGAATACCATTGTGGACAGGCATTTTGAACTCATATTTCTTTTTATTGCTTCTTCTAGCGGCTGTATAAGAAGATTCTGCTTCATCATCTTCCATATCTGAATATTTGAACTTTACAGTTTTTGTATTAGTCTTAAAGTTATCTTCTTGTTCTGATTCAGTATCAGGTTCATCTATTTTAGTCATTCTAAAATATTGATCAAAAAGTTTGGGTTCTTTTTGATACAATTCTTCGCATTCTTCAGTTTCTAAAGATAAAAGCTGAATAAGTTTTTGGTCAGCCTTATCATAATCTTCATATTGAAGGTTAAAGAAATATTTCTCAAGTTTCTCAGAGATTGTTTCTTTCATTTTTGCTCTTTTTTGAAAATATCGATTTTCTGGGAGTCTTTTGAGCTTCCTAAGTCAGGGTTTCCAATACTTGGATTGGGAGGTGAGTATTTCTTAAGACCTGAATATTTTCCAGTTTTGGTTTTTACTGTTTTACCTTTTTTATAAAAATGAGGAAAATCAATTTTATTACTCATTTATTACCTCAGAGATTTGTTTGATATTCTGACGTAGACTATCAATTTTTAAAGACATGTTTCTTATTAAGTTACTATCTTTTCTTTCTGAGCTTTCTCCTATATGGAGTGAATAGAAATTCTTGGTCTAAGAGTTTCTCCTAGAGCTTTTTTGTTTCTAGCTATATTTAAAACCCAAGAGTTTTCTTGAGGATTTATGTCGCAGAATTGTTTATCTTTGACATTGCCTATTTCTGAAAAGACATCATCAAGTTCGATGTACTCGTCTTTCTTGTAGTCTATGCCATGGTGACTATTGGTCAGGGCATATCCTATGAGATAGGTTATGGTGAATAGTTTATCACCTGGGTTCATAAGGTCACTTCTTTCAAAGTGATGTATAAAAGATAAAGTTTTATCTATATTTGCAGATTTCAAATCTAGAGCAAATTTTGGATAGACTGAAAACATAAATTTTTGGTATGCAAGGTTTCCCCTAGCAGCACCTAAGATGCAGTCCTGTCTGTCAGTAATTCTGTTGTCAATTAAGGCCATTTTTATGGGAGAATTTATTCCTGCTTGGAATTGGGATTTTATCAAAAATTTTACAGCTCCGATATGGACCATTCTTACTTTTGATCTAGCCTTTCAAGCTGTCTTAACAGCCTTAGGTCCGAAGTGGGGTTTGGTCACTGAAGTGGATCCGAAGGGAAACGGACTGCGGTCCAAGCAGGTACCGCAGGCGGCTCGTCAGGAAGGACCGGAGGCGAGTTCGGATGCGGTGCTCCGGGTTTGATGACTACGGTTCGGAGGTTGCGGCTCGCTGGCTGCGGCTACACAAGGGGACTCCGGTTCAAGGAGGGTTTGGTCCCTATAGAGGGACTTCGGCCCTAAAAGCTATTTTCCAAGGTATCTTCCCGTTTCGCATGGTTTTTCACCAAGTCAAATGTCGGGATGCCCCAAATGATTACAAAAATATCAAAAGAGGTTTTGAGAGAGATTTGGGGGAGATTTCACATTCTTGGAGAGATTTCTCCTACAGAGAGAGATTTGGGAGAGATTTCACATTCTTGGAGAGGTTTCCCATACAGAGAGAGATTTGGGAGAGATTTCATATTCTTGGGGAGATTTCTCCTACAGAGAGAGATTTGGGAGAGATTTCACATTCTTGGAGAGGTTTCCCATACAGAGAGAGATTTGGGAGAGATTTCATATTCTTGTAGAGATTTCTCATACAGAGAGAGATTTGGGAGAGATTTCACATTCTTGGAGAGGTTTCCCATACAGAGAGAGATTTAGGAGAGATTTCATATTCTTGGAGAGATTTCTCCTACAGAGAGAGATTTGGGAGAGATTTCACATTCTTGGAGAGGTTTCCCATACAGAGAGAGATTTGGGAGAGATTTCATATTCTTGGAGAGATTTCTCATACAAAGAGAGATTTGGGAGAGATTTCACATACTTGGAGAGATTCTTCCTACTTAGAGAGTTTTGGGAGAGTTAGAGTGGAAGTGATTGGGAGAGACTTCTTTTGTGACCTTTTTGAGTGTTTGGCTCCGTAACGCAAGGTTTGTAAACCTCGTTAAGTCTCGTTATGATTGTTATATGCCCCCGGGGGTTAAGGAATAATGTTTTATCGAGTAGTTTCATCACTTGCCCTGATTAGGGTTTAGAATTTCCGAACACGTGAAAACTCTAAGTGATACTTTGTATTAAGATTGCGAGTTGTTCAATAAGTAACATAATGGAAACCCTAATGTACAAGGGTTATATGAGTTGACCGGTTTGACTTGTTGACTTTAGTTGACTTTGACTTGGCCAAAATTGACGGTTGTCACAGATGATCCTGTCCGCAGCTTTGAGTTCCTCTCACTCAGGAAATGAAAAAAATCTCCATTTTTGTCCTATTTCATCCGCAAGGAGGAAAAAATAAACCATAAGCTTACATTGATTTTTATCATTTGAGATGTGGTGGAGTGTTAAAAGAACTTTACATATGTTATAGAACTCTAACTGCACAGATTACACAAAAAAAAGTATTAGATGAGGTGTATTGATTAGGATTAACTCAAAAGCCATAAAGTAGTTCTTGCAATTGGTACCGACTTTCCAATATATTTTGCATATCTTCCATTCATTATTATCCAACTTAGTACTTCCAAGTAACTAAGCTGATAACAAAAATTACCAAATGGACAACAGTTTCATCTCCTTACAAGGATTCATATTAATGAAAATAAAGTAGAATACATAAGAATAATAATATATTTCATTTTTTAAAAAGAATTGAAAAATTACATCCACATAGCAACAAATTACAAATCATAATTAACATTCATAGATTATCAATCTTTATTAAAAAAACAAAAAAAATACCTCTTTGCATGAGGCTGACTAAACCTGTAAATCCAAACATATCATCTTCAATTTCATCAATATGTTCAAGATTAGTCCACTCAGGGGTAGTATTCAAGGTTGAATCAGAAAGTTTTTTAACTTTTGGGATTTGATTATCACTTACATCCTCATCACTAATATCGATAACACCAGAAGAGGGTGGAGCAAAACCTAGTGTAGATGGAGCAAGTTTCTTGTTGGAGCATCCATTTTCCTCAAATTGTAAACGCTTTCTAACTTTGCTACAATATTCCAGTTTTGCCCCTGTGATTTATTGATATTGAAGACCAGTGAAGCTGAGAGATGGAAGTGGGCAAGTGGCAAACTTACGAAAGATGAAGCTACTAAGGCCTGCGATGGAGGTGGGTTTCGTTGACTGAGAGGCAGGGCAGAGCTGGAGGTGGGTATCGCGGAACGCGGGAGAGGTGTTGTTCACTAAACTTCTGGTGAGAAGAATATATCACACGAGGTGCTACATGAAAAAATCAAGTAATCAACTGATTATGAATCCGATTAAGAAAGTAGTAACTATCCATATAAAGTAGATTGATTTGATTTTACCTTCATCTAGTATGGACTTCATTGTTGATTCTGAACGTTTGATAGCAGAAACCTAAAAATCATGCGTGGAGACTTACAAAATTGATCACACAGAAAGGTCAAAATCGAGCGTGTAGGACTTAAAAATCGTGTGTAATCAACAACGATTGTATCCTACTACATCTCTCCTCTCCTTCTTTTGAAACAGTAGTAGGTGTTTAACATCAAAACAGCAAGGAAGGGGGAGGAAATCGTGAAGACAGAAGAGTAGCAATCGGTGTACTTTTAGGGAATTTTGATCGGAAGAGAGAAAGAAGATTAACGAAGATAACTGGTGGGTTTGGTATACTTCTAAGGAATGAAGTCGGTGGGTTATGTGAGAAGGTAACACGTAGTGTGAGAGCAATTTCATTCTTATTGGCTTACAGTACACGTATCCATTATTAGTGAAAACAGATAAATAATAAAAGTCAAAGCAGAAAATTAAAAAAAATTAAAAAAAAAACAGCCAATCAAATGAAAGTCATGTTCACGACACTTGTAAATTAGTATATAATAATAATAATAATAATAATAATAATAATAATATCAAAATATTTTGTAGAAAAATTTCAATATTTTGAGTCACTTTACGATATTGTCTCAAGTAAATTTATTACCGGTTGAAAAGAATCGAAATACAACTTTTTAATGGTTTAGAATTTTTTTTTAAAAAAAAAATAATTTATGATGATTTCATAAACCCAAAATTTTAGATTTTATTGGAGAATTCCTTTTTTATAACTACATAAATGAAGTTTTTTTATTATCTTTATAGTTTCGGGAAAAAAAAGTAATGACAAAGCTATAACATATATTAGTAAAATTATAAATTATATAGGAACTCTAATAAAACATTTAAGATAAATAAATAACATGTTAGTTTATTTAAAAAACGAAAAAAAAAAGATTAACCATTATAGATGATTTTTAATAAAAAAAAATTGTTAGAAAAAAAATAATATGGTAAAATTAATAAGTGTTTGTAAGATTAACCATGCTCTAACAACACTCTGTCAACCATTTGGGTTGTGATGACTTGGTAAGGTATGTAGAAGATATGGTGGATAACTTATTGACACATGTTCAAATCCTGGCACCACTCAGCCCTTGTGGCCATGGAGGTTCACCTGCAATGACTCCAGGGCATGAGACAAAGCCTCATGTTTGCAGCGGGGGATTAGTCGGTGCGCGAAAATTGGCCCAGAAACCCTCGTTAGGGAAGTTCCCTTTCCAAAAAAAAAAAAAAAAACAACACTCTGTTTAAGTAAATTTTAGTGAAATTCATGGCCAATTTTGCTAAATAATCATCCAATCGTACTCACATAGAAAAGGAGAATGGTCTGCACAAGAGATAACCCATCAACTAAAAAGTGAAAATTGAAGGATATCAATTAAACTAGGTTGTTGACAAAAATAAATAAGTTTTTTTTTATGAAAATAAGAAAAAGAATGCATATTGAATATTTATGTATTAGTATGGAATAACCCATTTAGGATGAAACGAACAATTTTCCAAACACAAAAAAATTGATATTTTTGTCAACAAGCTTATTTTTAAAGATTAGTTTAGTTAATATCGTGGAACTTTACGAAGGTTATATATATATATATATATATATATATATATATATATATATATATATATATATATATATATATATATATATATATATTATAAAAGTCCAAAATTTTAACCCGTAATTGGAAAAAGCCCTAATATTTTTTTATTATTGTTATGGCCACAACTTTCTCGCAGAATTATCACTCTAGCCCATTTAACGAGTTTCATGGTTAACTTGGTTAATTTTTTTGCAAAATCAGTCCCAAAAGTTCAAATTTGGTCCCTGAGCTTTGCAAAAAATTACA